TGGTTGTGGTGCAACCTCTGTAAATCCCTGCCCTGAAGTGTTCGCAGTCTCTATTGTCACTGGACCCAGTGGGAGAGGATGGAAAGTGGAGGAGGGAAAAAAGGAGGGAGAGGCTGAAGGGAGGAAGCCACAGCACTGCACACATGGTCCACATTGTCGTGGTACTTTAAACCAAACCAAATCCAACCCAACCAAAACCAAAAACAATCAAAAAAACTAAACCAACAAAACCAACACAACCCAAAAAAAACGGGGGAAAAAACCCCAAACACAAAACCCAGAACACAGCCCAGCTTACTGATCCTGTATTACTAATCCCTCAATAAATGGATGAATTGAGCAACAAACCACACCTGCAGCTGAAGACCCTTGGTGCCCATTGTACTTTCATTGCTTACTGTAACTCCCTGCCTGACCCTCTCACCATCTTCACTTCTCTAAAGTATGACAAGGCAACATGGACCATAACACTTGTTTCCTCACTGCAGCTGTCCCATTGCCACTGTGCCCATGGGTGCAGGAGATGTGCTGCCTTGGCTCAGGTGGTAGCAGTGGGTGCCACTGGGCCAGGGGTGGTTGTGAGTTTGTCCTCTCTCTGTGTTCCTCTCTGCAGCAGGAGCTGGTGCAGCTGCTGTGCCAGGGTGCTGTCAGTCACTGCTGCAGTGGGGCATCCGGGACACCGGAGAGAAACCATCCACAAATGACCCTAAATTACCTGCTTTTTGGGTGCATTGTGTATCATGAAGGGATGCTTTGGCAGAAACTGCTGCCACAGGGTTCCAGTCTCCTCTGGGTGCAGTTGTAATATGTATGCTAGTGATTGGCTACCATTTGAAGTTTAGAGCTGAGTCTTCTGAATGACAGGTTTTTCTGTTTTGGTGAGGAAATGTCACCGAAGGGGAGTTTGTTTGATGTTTCTCTCCTCTTTAAACTTCACAGAGTTATTTCACAGTAGTTTATTATCTTTACGAACTTTGTTTGTGTCTCTATGTCTGAAAGCCATTAGTTCATTTTAGGATTGTTAAATTCAGGAGCTGTTAATTTTCCTGTTCAAAAATTCCTTCTGCAAGCCTCTAATTTGAATGGTAGAACTTAAAGACACAATTATTTGTAGTTCACGAGAGGTTTCCTTTTTTGTGGTGTATTTTATTTTTCTAATTAACTACAGCTGTTTCTTTCCTGACCCTAGCTGCTTTCCTGTATTCTTTTATTAGGTCTCTGAAGGACATAAGGTGCTCAGGCTTTCTCTCTGCTTCTCTGTTTTTTGCATCTGGGATTCTCCCCTCCCAGATCTTCTCTGGCAGATCTGTAAATCCTCTTCAAGTGAGTGAAATATCTTTACTGTTGCTGTTTGCATTTTCATTTTCTAGGTGTCTGTTCATCTTTCCTCTCCCCATACTTTCGTACCACATACCTTCTGTGCTGTCCTCAGCCTTTCTCTGTATGCTTTGCCCAACAGAAGCTTTCATCTTTTTCATCAATAGGTTGCCATCTGCTGCCTGTACTTCATTGGCTTTTATGTTTCTATCACGCCAAATTTGCTCAGGGAGAGATGCAAGACCTTCTAAACATGAATTGCTGTAACAAGCAGAGTACAGAGCATTTAAAGCAATTTACTAAATCTACCTCAGTTTGAGGAGGCACAGTGTCAGGTTAGGATTTTTTTTCCCCCAGGTGTCACAAAACATTGCACATTTAATCTGGATGATTGTAAGCATTGTTCTTCTGGTGAACTTATGTCTGAAAGCATTTGGTTTATTATATGTCCGTGATTACTGTTTTGTACTGACTGCTGGTGTCCAAGGCTCCAAGACTGTATTGATGCAGCTTGTTAAGGCTGCCCTCAACCTCTTATTTGGAGTAAGAACTTGAAGCGAGGTTCCTGGTGGATGTGATAAGCTTGTCTCACACCACTGGCTGCTGTGTGGAGGAGGCAGAGCAGAAGCAGAGCACATCATGTGGAAGGTAGATTTATAAGCTCAACCTTTCTTCAGCTGCCTCTGAGAAAAAGAAACGGTCTGACTGCTGTCTTCCAGGTTGTGACTTGGGAGAGCTGTGGCTTATAATTACTTTTTCTCTCTGCTACTACCCTTGGATTGGTGGAACAGTTCACATGCTGCTTCTGCCTCATTGCTTTCTCCACAGCTGTGCTGTCAGGAAAATTGAGGGTGGGATTTGCAGATTAAATACACTTCAGATTTTAACAGCCTCATCACTCACTTGCTGACACATCAGCATCAGGTGAACTACACCTATTGCTCCTCCTGTATTTGGCATCATGATCTTGGGGAGTGGAATTAATTGGGTACTGTATTTCTCTCTGTGGGTGAGAAAGAGCATGACAGTCTTGCTCAAAATGAAATCAGGTCTAGTCTGTAATGACTTGCAGTAAATAGGAAGATGCTGTGGGAAGACTGAGGGAAAGATAACAATTGGAAATGTTGTGATGGTGTTTGGTTTTGGCTTTCATTCTTGGGATCACTACTGAAGAAGACTGGAAAAGTAACAAGTAAGGGGGTGGGTGAGGAATGGCTTAATCTCTTTTTCAAAGCATGCTGAAAAATATTCTGTATGTGTGATAAGAAATAAATGTTGTGTTACAAGCTATGTATCAACATGGTGGAGCTGGAGACAGGAGAAAGAGGAGGAATTCAGCCTTTTACACCTCGGTAAGAAAGGATTTGTAGTTGCTGTGACCACCATCAATCAGTGCATGCATGAAGAACAGAAAAATAATGACTAAGGAACTTGTTATTCTAGCAAACAAAGAGAGCTGGAAGTTGAAACTAATCAAATTCAAGCTGAGGATAAGGTGACCATTTTTAGGTGTTAAAGGAATTACCAAGTGGAACAATTAATTAAAGCGTTGTTTAGTTCTCTAATAGAGATGCTTGAAAACCAAGATGAGCCGTTTCTCGCAAAAGATACACTTCAATTAAATCAGTTACTAGACTTGAAGCAGGAATTTAAATAGAAAAACAAATCCAGGGGCTTGGATTTTGCAGGCTACTAATGAACTGGTGAATCTATGAAAGGGAGCCTGCTACTGCTGCCTGACAGTCGTTAGGGGAATGTTACAGCATAAAACTCCCTTTTCCAGATCCCTGTTTTTATTTAAGTGCATTTGCGCAGAACTGAAACACTTTTTTGAAGTTAGTTGTAACAAGTAAACAGCTTAGTACTGGCTGGCTATGCCAGCAAAAGGCCTAGGACTTCTGTAAACAAAAAGACTTAAAAGAAAATACACATCTGCGTTGCCCATTTGAAGTGGTTGTGGTGCTGTTTCAGCATCCTGTTCCCTTGATCCTGCCATAATCACTTGTCTTATGTGGCTGCCCCTCTGTCCAGGAGCAAGAAGGACTCTCCCCAGGCAGAGATCAGCGCTCTGGGGGACTTGGCCATGAATACAGTTGAAGGCCACCCAAGAAGGCTGTGTACATGCAGGTGCACAGAGGAGCTGGAGTGTTTTGTTGTCTTGGGATGTTACAGAAAATAATAGTTCTTACAAGATCTTCATACTGCTGTGAAGAATGCTGTAGGCACACAATGTTTCAACCACAGGGATCTGGCCTCATGCAGCAGCGATTCCTGCATCTGTATGGGAGGAAGAGGCAGGGGAAATGAAGGAGGATTTGCAGCTACAGCCAGACAGCCCTTTGGCAGATCCTGAAGATGAGTGTGGTCATTGCTAGTGCATTGTGGAGGTCTCGACAGACTGCAACAGAAAAATCTCTCTGCCTCTTTGTGCTAGATTATCATACCTGAAGCTAATGGCTCCTAGATACTTCAGGTATTTGAGTCAGTGTAAGAAAACAGGTTAATTCCATCCTGTTGATTTCTAAATGGAGACAATACATCTCTTGTGTTTGACCAAGAGACAGTGATGATAATATGTCACTGATTTACTTAAACTGTATTTGCTTATATGAGGAGAGTTTGTTTGATCAGAAGGTGAAGAGTTTATAGATTTGCATGCTTCTAGAGAAACCATTCTGAATGTAGTATCATTCTACTACCTTGCAAATCTTGCCAAGATCTTTTCTATGGATTTTAAATTTATTCTAAGAATTGACTATTAACAAAACAAACCAATAATTTAGCCTAACTGAAAAAAGAATGGATTAAAGCTCTTAAAAGTGTACTTTGTAGGACACAAATTAATTCTTGTATACTTAATTCACACAGAAGCATACAGTGCTGTGTGTTCATGTAAATTGACATGCCAGGGTAAAATCCACCTAGTTCTCCAGTCCTGAATTGAGTGCAGAATAGGCAAAGCTATAGAATTTACAGTAGTTACATTGTATATGAAGTGAGAATACTTATGGTTACAATTTAATTAATCTAAAGATAAATGAGAATGTATTCATATGTAACATGACATTTATTGCATTTTGTAAAAAAAACTTGTATTTCTTTCTGGGTTTAATCTCTTTTCTAGAACTCTATTAATGTTAATGAGAGAAAGAGATCAACTATTTTAATTTATTTGTATCAGCACATAATCAAAATGCTCTCCCCTCTGCTCAGCAGGCAAGGGAATACACCAGTGCAGAACACAAAACAGTGATGCGTCAATGTAGATGGGTCAGTGAGTGTAGAACTATTTTACATAGCCAGTGAAATCTGTAGTCTATTCAGATACTTGCTTCATCTGCTTCCCAACAGGGGTGTGTTGGGTTTTTGTTTGGTTTGGTTTGGTTTCTTTCTGGGAGGTTTTTATTTGCTTTTTGCTGAGGGAATGTTTTGAATTTAAAGAAAACAGAAATGCAAGAATGGGCATATTTCCTTAAAGTTGCTGTAGTAGAAGCTGGCTCACCGTGCTTTTTACTGGATGATTACCATCATGATTAGTAAGCTCATATGCTGTGATTGATATTCCTGCAGTTCTCTGACTGTCATTCGGTTACCCAGTATTGAATGAACCTAGATATTCTCATTTTCCTATAGAAATTTCCTATAATCTGCAATTTCAAACAGTTCTGATTGCCTTTCTACAGCTTGGAGGTTGCCAGCCTGACACGGGCAGATGCTGACCTAGAGGCCTATCGAATGCAGATATGTAAAGAAATGATTGCTATAATGATGAAGAACATGGTCTTAAGTCACAGCCTCTTTCCTCATGTGGAGAAGAAGATGAGTTCAATTTTCAAAAAGCAGTTTCTTGCAATGGAGAAGGAGATCCGAGAGGAATATGAAAGGAAGATGGTGGCTTTAACAGCTGAATGTAATCTGGAAACTAGGAAGAAAATGGAGGCTCAGTGCCAGAAAGCAAGAGCTGCAAATGAAGAGGCTGAGGAATTAATGAAGAAAATGAATGAAAAGGTGAACCTGGTATAAAATCAAGATGTTTTGCATGGTACAGAGTTTTACATAGATGGTTTCTCTTTTAGGCTAGAATGGCTGAGTTGTCCTCTTCTAAGAGAAAAGAGGAAAGCTGTACAATTTAAATGTATTCAACCATTCAGATGGCATAATTAGGGTAGCTGTTGTTAAGAAGCTCTTTTTTACTTAACCAGAAAATGAATTTATCTCCAGAGAATCTGTGACACCTGAAAACAAAAGATTGTAATTACCATGATCTTTTTATAGTCACTTGAACCCTTGCAAAGTGGTGTATTTTTATTTACTGTATTTTACTGCAGCAGTTCCTAAGAACTCCAGCCAGACACTGCATAAAGTATTCTGCACATTCAGAGCAGAACTCTCTGCATCATAAACCTTACAATCTAGGTAAAAAGCCTCCAATATTTATATTCTTATTTTGAAGAAAATGAGAATGTAAGTGCAACCAAAGGCTGATTTTCTTCAAACTGAATGAAGGCTAGCAAAACCATTTGTATTTTAGGCAGAGCAGGGAGTGGACTTCTGTTGGAAATAGCCTCTGGATAATAGTGAGATAAATAATTTAAGGCAGAGAATGATTCTTTGCAAGATTAGAGTCTCCCTTTAAGTAAAAGTTTAGTGCTTATATGTGTCACTTGCATTCAAAGATTCTGTCTGAAGGGGTAAGTATCATTACCCAGAATTATAGGTAGTCACTAGCTGGATATAGAGCCATGTGGATAAGTGGGTATGTGAGTATAATTCCTTAGATCAGTATATTGCTTACTTGTCTGTGCTCTCTTTGCAGGCAGTACTTAGATTTTTGGCCTTCTGTCTTGGTTTGGTTTCTTTTAAAAAGCATTTTTATTTGCATATCATATCTATAATTGTTAAGACTTTTATGGCAATTTATGATAACAGCTTTGACAAAAGAACTTTTTGCTGAGCATGACCCATCAAATGTACTGTAGTATGTTGAAGCTCTCAGGAAGTGCTTTAACTCATCAGGCTGTTGCGTGGAGAAAGTTGATGGGACAAGGCTAGTGAGCCAGTTGAATTTCTTTGACATCTCCATGTGAATTGTAACTTGTGACTCTAGGGAGCTTTTAAGTGCCTGTAGGATATGAACATCCTGAACTACAGATGCTAGAAAGTCAAGAGGAGAAAGCAAGGAAGGGATACTCATGGACATCTTTTTAAGGATGAGGTAAACTGTATTCTGCAGAAGTCTTTTTCCTTCTGTTGGTTATAGAAGGAGCTTAGACTAGATGTCTGACACCTTGCTGAGATTATAGAATCCTGGAATGGTTTGGGTTGGAAGGGACATTAAAAATCATCAAGTTCCAATCCCTCTGCCATGACCAGCTTGCTGAAAGCTTCATCCAGCCTGGCTTTGAACACTTCCCAATAAATTCTGTCTTTGCAGAGAGGAGTCTGAGTGAAACTCAGTATGTGAACCCACACCAAATAATCTCTCAGCAAAGTGGCTTTTGTTTTGCACAAAATGTATAGGTATTGGTTCAGTGCAATTAATATTGGAAATTCTGAATGGTAGAAATTGAAGAATTGAGGCCAATCCAATACTTCTGATCCATTTATCATATACTTTTGTCTTGCTGTTCACTTTCCTGTCTGTGAAAGGACCTGGGTTTGTACTTGCCAGGGAACCTGGTCCAAAAGGACATAGCAGAGCGCTAGGCTTGGCCCACACTTGTGCTCCTGGCAGGGGATGCACTGACATCCAAGAGATGGCAGTGAGAAACAGCTGGAGCAATAACCTCCTCCGCTCCTCAGCCAAAGCACGGAGTGTATATTCCAGGCCTTTTTGATTAGTTATTTGCTGTCTCCAGTTGGGAATGAGGGGTGAGGTGCAGAGGAGATTTGTCCCCGGATAAATAGTATGAAATTTAGAACAAGACATACATAACTACCATTAGGTAGCTCTGCTGGCATAAGCATCATTCTTTGCTCTGTGGAACATGTATGTTTTGATTCTATAGTGAGTTTATGCCAGCTGAGATTAAAACTATGAATATGTAAGCCTTACTGGAGAATTACAAGAAAGTATTGCAAAGAAACTTCTGAATTATTTGCCATTTAATTATATTCCATTGTTGTAACTCTAAAATGATGCTCTTGGATTAATCTGTAGAAACCAATAGATAAAGTAGGTCACCGATAGGAAGAACTTTTAGAAACTTGTCATTGCTTTTATTTTCTGTGTATTGTTTTTAAAATACATGCTTATTCTTACGTCATTGTTCTGACTTATTTGAGTCTATTTGATTTTCATAGGATTTCAGGATTGATGAAATCTAAGAATTTATTTAATGTATATGGTCTTTGTGGTGAATTTCATGCTGTTCTGTATAATTTACTTTAAATAATGCTTCTAAATTCTAAAAATACTTCATTATGCCTTGCAGCTGTTATCTGGGTTAGAGATTGACAACTGTACAACCTCTGTCATTCCAAACAGATGAAAACCAGGGAAAGCGTACACTGATTTAGTATTAGCATTCATTTAAGCCTGAAATTACGGTAATCAGGGTATGCGTAAAATATGTATTAGCTGGTAGCACTGATAATTTAATATATGTTGAATACTGAAAATCACTTTGTATCTATTTATTTCTGTCTTCTCTGCAGCCTGCTGTGGAATACAGAAGTCTTCTGGATAGACTTCATGCACTGGAGCTGGACCACCTGAAAAGGTTCCTTCTGGTAAAGCAGGAGGAATATTTTGCGAAGGCTTATAGAGAGCTGGCTGTTACCCAGAGAAAGGAGCTCCATAATATCTTTTTTACACAGATAACAAATGCTACTCTCAAGGGAGAGCTGAAGTTGGAAACAGCTAAAACATTAGTGGAAGGTTACTCTACAATACAGGTAATAGGATGAGAACTCCATTCCTAACCTAATGACAGAATATAAACCCACAGTAACTCTTGTGAAGTGTTTCAGGAAATATATTTCAGGGTGAATTTTATCACTTTTATAACTAATTTTCTTAGGAAGAATATTAAAAAGTATAATGCAATTATTATACACATCTAGAAATCTGTACAACTGTATATTGATGCATGCACACAGCCTTTTTCTAAAACAGTGAGTATTTGCCACAGCAGTATGTGCTTAGTGCTGACTTCTGTTTACCTGGGTAGTATTTCCTAAGCATGCAGGCCACTGTCAGAGGTAGAGGCAGCTAGCACTTGTGCAAGATACAGTTGAGCAGCCAGCAGAAGACAGAGCAAGTAAAAGAAATTTTGACAGTGTTTTGGCTGCACAGACATGGGTCACTTAAGTATCAGACCTTGTCTTGGCTATCTGAAGCTAGCAGAATATCTGCTATAGACCACTGTGTGCATACCTCTAGTATCTGCCAGACCCATCTGTATGTACCTAAACCCTTGCTGTTCCCCTCTGTTGGAAGGAGAAACTTCTAAGCCAGCCTGTGTGCAGCAGGCTTGGCTGTCACCACTTACACTAGACAAATGTGAAAGACTTATCCTTGGCTTTGAAGTCAGTTCAGACACCTTTTAAAATGTTCCCCTTTATTTAGTCATACAATAAATTGTAAAGAAAAAAGAAAGAAAAAGACATGGTGCCACTTACTGCTGTTACTGAACACATGCTTTCTTCAGATCTCGGTTCAATAAGACTGTTCAGCCTGTGGATAACTTTAAGCACGAACAGTTCTAATAATACTGGTAGGGCTGCATGTGTATTTAACTGTCATCAATGACCTGTTAACTCAGGGCTCTCAGGAGGTGCATTAACTATTCAGGAGAGTATACACACTATTGAGGTATTCAGGCCAAAATTATTTATTTTGTTTTGTTGAAATCGCTGTAGTAATTTGAAGTGATCATTACAGACAAGTTGATAGAAGCTTATTGTTTTTCACTTCTAAGAGCTTTTAAACTTTGCCCTGTTAATGAAAAAACCTGGTCTGATACCCACAGGTATTGGCTGAAATTTACATTACATCTAATTAAATATATTTGTTCACATTCTCTTCTGTAGGGAGACATTGAAGAGCTAATGGATTTTTTGCAAGCTAGCAAGAAATATCATCTGAATAGAAGATTTGCTTACAGAGAGTGTCTCATAAATAAGATACAGTTAAGGGATTCTCAAGCCTCTGCCCTTATAAATGCAGCAGCAGCCCAGATACCAAGTCTCATTAGTAAGATGGAAAGGTAAATATCTCAATTGTTTTCTTGGCAACCATTTGACTATGTTATCTCACAGGCAGGAGAATACTTTTTAAAAGTCTTTGTGTTACCTAGTGGGAAAGGTGCATAAAAATGTTATCCTTTAAGTTAATTCTAAGAAAATATTTTGTGACTGATCACTTAGTTAATATCTCAGCAGATACTAAGGCGAAGCTTTGCGGTGTCCACTTTGTACAGCACAGAGATGAATTGCTGAGAACTTTGTAATTCTGACTTCAGTGGGAAGCAGACTCTCATGAGATCCTCAATGCCTTTATACATCTGTTATTCATGTAAATAGTCCTCAGTCATTTGAAAAGTCCTACCAGAGGACATTGCAACATATACAAGTTAAGAGCATTTTTCTGGATTCTTTACACATGAATATATGGATTTAACAGTAAAGAACAATTCTGGTTCACTTGAATGTATTTGAGGAACTGGATGTATGGTCTCAAACTGGAAAGCATGAATAGTTTCTAAAGAAAGTTGACTACGTTTATAAATGACATAACTGGGGAGGATCTTGAGTAGCAGAGACTACACCTGTTGCTGGAAGTATTAAAAAGTAAAGGACAGGGAATGTAAAAAGTAGATGTGGAAATGGACTGTTGTAATAGCACTCATTCAGCTTACTTGCAATATCACACCAGATTCAGGCTGTCTCAAGTACTCTATGTGATGATACTTACAGTCAAGGTGGAGAGATAGAAATGGTGTCTTAGCGGAGACATAGTTATTTAAAATTATATGGCAGTGTGGAGTACTGAGAGGGATCTTACAGATTCTCTCTGTATAGTTTCTGTATAGTGTTGTGATTGAACCTCCATGTATATCCAGGCTGGTACAACTTTTCTGCTTCACATCTATCTTTCTTTGCTGGGGTCCAGCATAGTTCTTTATAGCATCAAACACAAACTACAACTTTTAGTGCCGCCACTCCATAATTTCACCTAAATTTGTTGGCATTTGTTGGGTACAGTGAAGTCAATGTCTGCCTCTGATTGATCTATGATATAACTGCTGTTGGCCATGCATTTCATCTCTGTACCTTCCTTGGTGCTCACTGCATTTGGGAGGATCTCCCTGTAAATATCCCTGTCATTGCTGCAGTATTCTCCTTGATTAAAATTCTCCTTGTTCAAAGACATTAAACATTTGCCTACACATTTCCTCAGTGATTAGATGTCTGGTATGCTGAGACCAAGCAGTTTATCATACAGTCTATACTGTCTCATTATCTGTCTCCTCTCCTTTTATTTTGTGTTTCAGTTCAGAGTCCTTTTGGAACAGGATGTCTTTTAATTCTAATACTGCAATTGTTTTCATACGGTGTTTATATGAAACCGAAAATTAAGATCTCTTGCCAGGATTGATCCTTCTAATAATTTCCATAATACTGATTAATATAAGTTGCCACATAAACTTGCATAGACTTCCATGGTGGTAGGCATTTTGTCCTTTATTTTTGTTCTCTGGGATTCCACATAAATAGGTAGATGGGTTTTACAGTACTGTGTCACCCACAGCTTGAGCTGTGGACGTACTGTGTGTCTAAATAAATCAACAGCCTGAAACTGAAGTAATGGAGACTCCTGTTTTTCCTAAGAATAGGTAGGTATGTATCATCTTCCAGTCATTCTGTGTTGCATGGCTTTTCTTAAACTTTCATTTGCTGGGTAGTTCCAGCACATCTATCTTTTTCTATATAGACCCTTTTCACTACTCTGAACAGGGATTTTAATTGGATGCAGCAAGACTTGGTTTATTTCCTCAGTACAAGACAGGATGAAGGTGTTAAAAATATCTTGGTTATTATCTTGCCTCACTTTGTCACCATAATAAATCTTCCTTTATTCACTGTTTTGCCTTGGGTTTGATCAAAAAGGGGGGCAAGACTTAGTTACCAAATGTGGGCTGGAAACTTGGTGCTGCTGGTTTTTTTTGACATAACTCTGAAATCTAATATTGATTGCTTGAAGGCAAAAATTACTTTGCCAAAAGATCCAGGAATGATGCTTGGTGCATTGCTTTCAAGGTACCAAGAGGTACTGTAATCCTCTTTGCAGAAGATTAAAGAAATCTGATTGCTAAACAGTGGAAAAGCTCTGCAAAGGGAAGCCACCTCTGTTGACATAGCTGTGTGATAAAGCAGAACTTACTTTCTGTCTAGTACATTCCTTATGTAGGGGATGATGCTTTGTGGCTTGCTCAGATACTTGTGGATACTTGAGCAGTAGGTGGAGAGATGTGAATTCATGTGAATCCAGGCTCTGTGTGTAATGTTCGTGTCTTCTGAAAAAGGGGATTTAAAAAATAAACCAGGAGTTGTTTGGATAAAATTCCAAGTCCAGGTCCAGAATTGGTGCTTTCTTCTCAGAGTTCCATGTTGACATTTTCAGCTTCACATTTTGGAAGTTCAGCATGCTTAATATTAGAAATTATAACTCACAAATGTCTAACAGCCTGGTCTGAATTAAGATGTTCTTTTAATCTTCTGCTGTCTGAAAAAGTTTGGGGAATTTGTGGTGTAAATATAACAGCAGGTGATTCTTGAAATTCAATTTAAGTTTGTAGAGATTGAAGGTTTTCTAACCTAATCTTGCTTACTCTTTGAAATGGAATACTGTAGCAACTAGAGGTAGACCATAGTCTTGAACTTCCAGCTGAAAACACTATGGGTTTAAGACTGAGAATTTGCTCTGTTAGATTATTTTATTTCACTGTTGTTTTGGAATCTTTATAATTCTGATGATGATGTACATTAATAGGAAATCTGAATAGAAATCTTTTCATGGATATGATTGCTTTTTATCTTTAGAATAATTTTTAATTGTTTTTGCCTGATTAGATTACATCCTTTAAAGAAAAAATTGTTCCTAATGAGGAGAAGGAGTTATAAAAGACATCTGGAATTGCATTCCAGGGGCGTTAACTGAAAAAATGTAAATATTATGAATAATAGATAAGGCTTAAAATATCTCATTTGAATATTGCTTACATTACTGACTTGTAATGGGTTTGCATTTGCCTTCCCTTCCTTACTTTTTCCTGTTCCTTCTTCATACACTTTCATTCTACCTTGAAAAACTGTCTTAATCCTACACTAATCGTTGAGATTATCTTTCTGTTATCCACTTGCTTCTTTGATCCCCCCAGGTATCACTGCTAAAAGAATAAGGATCATTCTGTGTATCTACTGTGTTGAGCCTTATTATGGTACTAATTGCCTCAAATAATACCCTTTTCCTCTTAAGAATTTGGGATAACAGGCTTCAAACACTGTTATTACAGAGCAGGTCATCTACCTGAAAGTCATTTGGGGTTGCTGCTGGACCAAGCTGAAGCTGAAATTAATTCTGTTAAACAGAAATTCGATCATGATTTAAAACAAGAAAAGCAAAAGCTTCGCCAGAAACTTATTACCAGGCGAAGGCGGGAAGTGCTGCAAAAGGTAATTTCAGAATATTTATTTTCACAAGCCTTATCATGAATTAAAAATAGAATGAATTGAAAAATGAAGTGTAGTTCTTACAACAGGGATCAACACTGCTAGGAGCATCGATGAAAATAAGTGTCTGTTGGTTTTAGCTGTGTACTACTGTGTGCTGTAGTAATTAATGGCTGTTCTTTTAAAAAAACCTGCAAGAAAGTAATGTAACTGGAGAAACTTGTGAAGCCCCTCTACGTAGTCTAACCTGTGCAAGGAGGTTGTGACAAGCCTCTGTAATGTGCAGCAAGCAAAAGCCAACTGAGGTTCTGGAGCTGGTGGGAGAAATGGCGCAGGTCTGTGACACTTGTTTTATATGGTTTTCCTGGCTATGTGTGACTTGACTGACTTTTACAGCACAGTTAAAATTCAGTGACAAAACAAAACTATCTAAAATATGTTGTACCTGTGGTTGCTTGTTGTAGGACTCATTATCACCTCACCTCAGACGTCTAGAAATCAAGGCTAACTCCAAGAGCTCCAAATCAGAGAATCATAGAATGGTTTGGGTTGGAAAGGACCTTAAGATCATATAGTTCCAACCCCCCTGCCATGGGCAGGGATGCATCACACAAGACCATGTTGCCCAAGACTCAGTTCAGCTTGGCCTTCAACACTGCCAGTGGTGGAGCATTTAGCACTTCTTTGGGCAGCCTGTTCCAGTGTCTCACCACTCTCACAGTAAAGAACTTCTTCCTTATATCTCACCTGAAGTTCCCCTTAAGTTTAAACACATTACCCCTTGTCCTGTCGCTAGAGTCCCTGATGAAGAGTCCCTCTCCAGCATCCTTGTAGGCCCCCTTCAGATATTGGAAGGCTGCTATGAGGTCTCCACACAGCTTTCTCTTCTCCAGGCTGAATAGCCCTAACTTTCTTAGTGTCTTTGTACGGGACATGCTCCAGCCCCCATATCATCCTTATAATTACTTGCGAGTGATCTGAGATAAATGGAAGGGAGTTGTTATCCAAAGGTCCCTATCTTTCTCTGCCTAAAGGATGAAGAAGATGTTTTCTTGGATTAGATGATACTTCTATAGATGACCAAAGTTAGGTGAGATTGATTTTACCTTTTGCAGGATATGTGTTTCTGTGTTTTCTTCTCAGATACCAGTGCAAGGAGAGACAGCAGGTACAAAGATGGGCAGTTAATTTGATGTATTTTTTCACAGTATAGGTAAGGTAGCTTTGGTTTAGCTTTCCAATTAATTTTTTTTTCCTCCTTTTTCTTCCTTGATATTTGATTGAGATTCACTTCTGGAATGCTGCCAGATCATTGCAGCTCAGTCAGTTGGGATTATGTCAAACAAACATAGATCATGCATTTGTTTAGGTGTCAGCCCTTCTAATGAACAGCAATCCGTATTATCACAGATTTGTGTTAACCTTTCTGTCTAACAATCTGACATCGCAGGCCTGCTAGATGCACACAAAGCCATTGTGTTGAGGGCTAGGTAAGTGTCTGGACACTGAAAAGCAGATTCAAGAACACTGAAAAAGCAAAGTGTGAAATTTTGTGTTGCTATGAAATGCACACTTAAAAGGCTAGAAATTGAGATGTTCCTTCTCTTAACCTTATTCTTCCTTTTGGCAAATGAATCAGCAGAAGGAGCATTGGAAAGAGCAGCTGTCACTTGGAGACACCTTCAAAACTACTAAGGAGGTCGCTCACTACCTGGGCCACTGGAAAAATCTTCTGAGTGATCACACCATTGAATTTGAAGAACTTACTGAAAAGCTTGACAATGAGGCCAGTGAAGAGCTGAAAGAGCTTCTATTTAGTCTAACAGAGAAAGCCGTTGAAGAGCTTAAACGTGTTCAGTGTGGAGTATTTGTGCACGAACTAGTAAAACTCAATGTGCCAAAGATGTTCCTGCTAGAAACTGTGGAGGAACATAAAAAAGAGATGGTTGTTAAACATGAGCAGCTTGAAAGAGAAGAGCATGAAAAGAGCGCAGCCACTGAAGAGCTGCTTCAGCTCACCAGGCAGAAGCTAAGCCAGGAGGTGGAAACAAGCATTTCGGAACAAAAAAAATTAAGGAGCTGGGAACAATCAGTATTCATGCAAGTATCTCTCTGTGCCCTTTTCTTAGTTATTATTGCAAATAGAGATGAACTAGGAATTTTCAGACATGTCCAGGTGTGAGTCCTAATGAACAGTTCTGTCGGGCACTTGGGAATTGATTCATTTGCAAGTGCTCACCTTCTGTGGCACTGGTGGGGGAGCACTGCAGTGGAAATCCTGGGAAACAGTGGTTTTGAAAGCAAAAGCATGGAGTGGTATTCTTATACTCATGTTCACTCTGTGTCAGGTTTCACTTACACGTCTTTCATTATTATTCTCAGTCTGTTCTCAAAGGTCCAGCACTTTGGAAATGTCGTTTAGTATGTCAGGCCTAATTAGCCCCATGTCCAGTTTCAATATATTCCTCCCAGACACAAGTCAAGCCTTACTCATCGGGTTCGTTTTGAGCTCTGCCACTGTATTTCCACATATTCCATAAATACACATTGCAGTAGTCTCCCTCTCCAGCTCATGGCCTCCATGCATCAGACGTGGCCAATCTGGCCTGCTGATAAAGTGCCCTTGACACAACCCCAAGCCAGAGAGGCATCATGACCCAGGCAGTGTTGCAGAGAGGTTTGCTGGCCCCAGGTGTACTTCATGGCTGTTGCTGTCTGCTCTGATACGATTTGGGGAGTTGAGAGGGCAGGTGGTGGCTTTTCCACCCTTGGGATGCTTTGTGCAGAGAGAGACCATGGCTGCAGCCAAGAGTCATTGTGCATGATGCCTCTCAGACTGGGCAGCAAGGCCCTAAGAGATCAGCACTGCTCGTTAGTATTTCTCCTTAACTTTCAAGTATATTTATGACTTGTTGTTGTGTTGCTTGAATATTTACAGTTCTACATTTCCTATACAATGTCTATTTAATAGCAGATATTGTTAGAGACATGGGAACATGAAAAAATAGTCTGCTGTCAAAATTGCCGCTTTAGGGGAAGCAACTAGAATAGGGAAACCTATATTAGCATGTCCGCCCCTATTGTAATACAAACTGAGCATGTGAGATTGAACCAGGGTGGAAAGCATTAGTAGAAGTTTCTCCTTCCTACCTTTTTTGTAAAGCACAGCAGATCTGCATGAGCAGTTTTATCCAGACAGCATCTTTATAACTTCGCCTGCTGCAAAATTTAAAATCTTATAATAGAAACATAAAAAGAAATCTTATCCATTACATCTGCTTTGCTAAAGAAGAAAAATCAGTTTGTGTTTTCTTCTGGTTCTAATTTGAAGTGCTTTGTGTTCTATTCAGCATTTACAATACTTTTCTGTAAGCCATTTTAATGTATTTTCTAGCTGTCTGATCTCTTATTTACGTTGCTGAGAGCAGACCTGCAGGACCAGGGAAGTAGATTGTATGACCCAGCAGGTCTTTCCTGTTGCTAACTTACAATTACATGATAATTGTGTTCCAGCCTGCAGTGTTGCCTGTTGTATGCTATCTTTATTACAGCTACAGTAAGATGTTTGGGGTTTTTTTCCCAGTAAAACACTGGGAAATATATACAAAAAATGCACAACTGTCCTATCAAAAGCCCCTTAAAATCTGTCACTGTCCTTATGTTCAGTCTGCTGTCTGTCAGTTTTGGTACTTTGATGGCAGATGCCAGCTGTCATGTTCGTGTTCTTATCTGCTCTCTAGTTTTCACAAAGAATTATTTTGAATGATAGCTTTTCATTTCTGTTGCTTATCAAAGAGACCATGAGTTAGTCCAAAATATATATGAAAATCGTTAATGCTTAAAGTCCTTTTTAAACATAGACATGACAAAACTGATTTTCTGTGTTATCTTTTGTATCTCAGTCTCTATATCTAACTGTATATATGGACACATAGTATGGATTTTCTGAAAGCCTAAGACAGCATGAGAAATGGTTAAGTGTGCTGTAAATGCTTTTGCTTGGAGTAATATTGCCTTAAAGGAAGTAATCTTTCAAAGGTACAAACTTTATACATTAAAAATGTTTTAATTTAGGATGGAGCTGCACTTTGCTGAATCAGTAGGACTTCTAAACTCAGAAATATTTTAATTATATAATGAAATACTTGATTTTCAGTATCTTTATAAATATTGAAATACGTCAGTGAAATGATGACGTGATATAGGCCTGTGATACACTGAATAAAAGCATCAGTCCTAATGGAATGTAGAGTATAATATATTTTTTAAAGAAAAAATACTTTTTTTTAAATATGTGTTCATGCTTTAAATAAAAATACATCTTTGGGGAAATAGAGAAAATTTCCAAACAAAAACGTATGCTATTTTTTATTAAGTACTTTCAGGAAATATTTCAGTCACAAGACAAGAAGATGTATGTTGTTAAGGTTATTTACAACTGAAAGGTGAATTTAGGCCTTAGCATCCTCAGTTAACTTCAGCTTGACCTGAGAATCAGTTCTTCAGACTTCTGTGTTGAGAACCTTCCTTCCACAAAATGGAAACTTTGAGTGATTCAGATTACTGCTAAAATATACTCAGTGTTGTCTAGACTGCTAAAAGCTCTTTTACAAAGAGCAGCTGGAACCCTTGTGATGGGTGATGGGAGGGATGACGGGTAAAAGTTTGTAATAAGGAGAGACTTTTTTATTTTATATTTTTCCCCTCTCAGTAGCTGTGACTGCTGAGTGCTGGGAAACAGCACAGGGAGGCTGTACGGGAAGCTTTTAGCTGGATTTCACCCCTAGGTTCAGGGACTGTATTGTCTGTCGAAGTGGAAGGATTCTGTGCATAGGAAATGTGCTAAAAATTCTTTATTTACTTTTTGAATATTCAAAAACTGTATCTCCTTGAAAATGAAGTTTTACAGTCCAGGAAGTTCTGTATGTAGAATTTAAAGTATCCTCAAGGATATTTTGAACGTACTAAGCAGCTCAGCATGGGATCGGTAACTGTTACATGAATAAGACAAGAAAGGATTGTTATTGTCATGTAAACTATCTGTGTGCATGTCTCACATTTATGCAATATTGGTTACATTACTGAACAGCAAAAGGCTATGGCTTTTGTTTTGTTTGATTTTTTTTTTAACAGGCAGCTTCTCAGTTTACCCCTGTCACTGTCAGAAGAGGAATTGCTTAGAATGAGGCAAGAATTGCATTGCTGCTTCTCTCAGGTGGACAGCAGCTTGGCTTGGCCCAAGATAAGAGCGAGAACCTTGCTTCAGGCTTTCAAGGTGGAGCAGAGGGATGCAGAGGTGCTGAAAGTCGATCAGAATTTAGCAGTGGCCAATAAACAGGTGGGAATGATGTGGGATCAGTATGGGGATGTGCACGGGCTCACTGGTATATCTGCAAGTTGTTGGTCTTGGCTGCATATTTAGGTCCAGAGCTTCTTCACAGGCGTGACAGAAGTGCACACTTCTCCTGTCTGTGTGGATCAGTGGATCTTAAAGATAGTTGTTTGGGCAGCAGTTAGACAAATTTTTTTTTTCACATACACCTGCATATTTCTGCTGCTTGTGTGTACTCCAGCTTTCCCAAGAAGGTGGCATAATTACAAGGAAGCAGATGGGTGGCCAGAAGGGGCTACATCTCTGAGGAGAGTCCACTGAAATGCCAAAAATTTGGCACTGCTGAGCCTGGCTCTGAATATTAGGGACAAGTTGGGTCCTTTACACTATAGATGGAGATTTTTCTGGCAGCCCCTTCACACTGCTAAATTTGACACTAAATCAAGGAGAGATATAGGGAGTTTCTGTAGGGGAATATCCTACGTTGTCTTGTCCATTTAGGAGAGTAAAGTTCCTGAGTTAGCTGGTCTTTCTTAGCAAGAATTTGGGTTTCATTTCCATTTTTTCTCTCCAAAAGAGTTGGGCATATACAGTGGGTTGGCTTTTGTGGTTTGTGGGATGGGGGGTTGTTCTTTTTGTTAGTTTGTTTCAAATCTGAATAAGTAGAAGATGAGGCATACCCACTCAAAGTTGGAAAGACATTCCCAACAAGGAATCTAACTGTCTATAAAATCTAGCAGTTTTTTAACCTAATTCTGTGAGGGGTGTTTAGTTCCTTCAGTAAAATGTAAAACCTGCAATCATCAATTATTTTCAGTTCTTTACATTAGGGGAGGAAGTGTTTCCTGTATGAATTGTATCTGATATCATAAAAAAGAGGACGTTCCCTTGCTTTGTTTCGATTGTTATGTTTTCTAAACATGTAAGCTAACTTAGATTAATTATACTAGGAATTAGCCTACTTCAAGACCTTAATAATTTCTAAAGTACTAAAGAAAGGAGGTGACTTTGTAAAGCCTTATTGTTGAACAGATGTTATCATTTCCCCAAGAGTACATTATACTTAGTTGATATTCTTCTAAAGAAATACAAAGGTCAAGAATAATTTGATTACATGGAATGGTGCCCCTTAATACTATCATGATTCAGTTGTGTTTCATATAGTGTGTCTTGAAAAACAATGTAATTCTTAAATTAATATTCTTTGTTCGTTTTAACCATGGTGAGGAGACTGTTTCAGTTAAAATCTCTTATTATCACTGCTAAAGCTTGTTAAAACCAAATCTATGTGCTAGAAGATTTCATGGAAAGGATGAATATATAATTTTACTTTGAAAGAAATCAGAAAAGGAAATTACCAACTTTGAATGTCTGAAAGGAATCTTCTGAATGAATAGGGCAGCAACTTCATTTCAGATATATTTTCTCAGTGAATGTCATCCTTGCCATACGTTTCATTAATTGGCGGATCTGTCAATAATAGCAAGTAATAATGCTAGTGTCCTCATATACCTTTTACAAATAAAGCATCTTGTACTCATCTACTTACAGCCGCATTCTAAAGTGAAAAAAAATGGATCCAGGAATAGAAATAAGATGGATATTATGAAGAAGTCTTTACAGGACAAGATTTTCATTTATGAAGACTCTGTGAAAGATGAAAATTTGAACAAGGTAAGTGTCTACTACGTTACTAAAGTGATCTCTAGTAATTAAAGACTGTCAGTTTTCTACCAGTGTGAATAAGAACCAGATAAAAAGGCATAAGGTGTGGTGGCATGATGCATGCCTCTACTCTTGCCTGCTTTTATAAAGATGTTGTATTTCAAGTTGAAGAGATTTGGTTTTGTTTTAATTTTTCCACCTTAGTTGCAGAACTGATTTCATGTGTCACCCTTTTTAGTTCCAGTGGTTCTGGGACTTGGCACATGCCTGGTTGCATGATTCCCCGAGATACTGTGGCTGTCTTAGTTAGGCTTTCAAAACACAGAAGGTGCTTCACTGCATACTTCAGTTGAGCAAGATTTAGTTCTTGACATCTCCTAATGCTACTGAAAATCCTGAAATGGCTTCTTAGATCAAAGACTTCCTGGGTAGAGGCTGAGTTTATTTGTACAGAGCTTATTGAAAGAGAGCCTTGATTCTGGTGGGTATCTTCTAAAAGGCTCACTAGCGCCAGTATAGCGTTAATCCTTAAGGAATGAGTGGGGCCAATGCCAATAGGGGATTTTAGAAGATCTTTTCCTTCTCTGCCAGCAGATGTTCCGTGAGGTCTTGTTTGTGTTCTTTAACCTTTCTCTCCTTCTCTTTTCCACTTGTAAACTATGGGTAATACTACTTTTGTATACTGGAGGAATGTTACAGTTGTAACTGTGTTAGACGTAGGTGGTACACAGCTATAAGAACTACGCAGAATAAGCAGGTGACACTGGTGGATAAAAAGTAGTTTCACAAATGATTGCATTATCAATTTTAGTACCAAATTGGACAAAAATCTGTTTTTACACCTCCTTCCTATGCCTTTTATGCCCTAAAATCCAATTTTTTTTTATTTTATTACAAAAAGTACTGAATACTTATTGATATGAATATTGCCTTGCATTTTTGTTAGAATCTTGTTTGAAAATTGGAAAATAAGCTTCTCTAAGACTCATTGTTTCAGTTTTACATACACCACCTGGCATACCCGTTGTTCGCATTGTATGGCTGCACATTAGTTACAAAAAGCCATATGCTTTGGGCTTTTCCTAGTAAGGAAGCTAAACTATTAAGAAAAATCGTTAGTTCACACTTTAGTGTTAGGACACAGAAGTATTGCAATTAACCTTATGTTGATCACAGAAGCGGAGTTTCTTTCTTTTGCTGTTAGAGTTTGTTACCTCATTCCTCATTTAGAATCTTAACACTCCTAAACTTTGTGTTAATATGAACACTTCTATCATCTTCCTCAAAATTAACCATCTGAAGCTGCACAGCCGGTTGAAGGCAGGGAAGCAGAACAATGGAGCAGTACAGCTCTGCTCTGTTTCCCTTGCCTTCACTGCTGCAGACTTCATGCGGTGTCGTGAGTTCTGTCTCGCTATAGGATGGCTGTAAAATGGTGTCCAGCTGATGCTTATGAAAGCAGCAGCAGGGTGTGTTTTGTAATACTGTAAAATAGGCACGGCGGAGAAAAACAACTCATAGACAGGAGGTACTGAGCTGGGAGGCCACGGCAGGAAGTTTGATGCCTTATCTTGGAGCACCTGAGACTATCACTGACCTCACTGTGAAAATCTTCAAAACCAGACTTTATCTACTTCATTTGTGTTTTACAGCTGGTTTGAGCTGTCTTATGCATGAGGAAGTAGCTCTTCCTTTCTGAACTAGCAGTTAACTTAGAAGAAAGAGAGTGGTAAAAATACTGACATTCATGGAATTGCAGAATCATAGAATGGTTTGGGTTGGAAGGAACATTAAAGCTTATCTAGTTCCAACCCTCTGCCATAGACCAGGTTGCTCAAAGCCTGATTCTTTAGTCTATTTTCCCTGCTGGCCTTAACCCAATAATAATATTTGCTTGAGAAATGTCTTAAGGTTGCAGGTAAACAAGTATATTTTAAGATTATTCCATTTATTTCTAGTATTTAGGACTGAGACAACACTAGTTAGCAATTAGTCTGAACTAAATATGGAATTTAAAAGTCTGTATTTTAAAGCAACAGACTATTCATAGTGTGTTTACAGCACTGGCAATTTTTTGTGTAGGTTGGATGTGTCAGATGGAATCAGGAGCAAATGTTTGGACCTGTGAAAGTGGATTCGTCATCACCAAAGTAGTCGATACTGTATGTCAGACTGGATGATGTTGAGCAGTATTTTACAGTCCTCTGGTATAATAAAAGGCTTCAAAAAAGCCAGGGGATATTAGTTTATAACTAGTTTATAATTTAGTTTGTAATCAATATTTGATCCAGCTTCTACTGAAGTTGCCTTCTCTGTCACACTGAAGTCACATGTACTTGGAAGCTTTGGTTTTCACAAGTGTGTTTCTGTTTGCAGAGCTGTGATTTCAAAGCTGACAGGATGCAGAAGCAGCTCAGCTGGCTAGGGATAGATAATAGTAGCAGTTGAATAATGCAACATTTTATTTGCTTAAGAGCAGTTATATTACTGTATACTGTTGACTAGATGCTGACTGATAAAGCTGAACATCGTTCCCATAGAACCATAGAACAGTTTGGGTTGGAAGGGACCTTTAAAGGTCATCTAGTCCAACCCCCCTGCAATGAGCAGGGGCATCAGAGCTCTGTCCAACCTGACCTTGAATGTTTCCAGGGATGGGTCATCTGCCACCTCTCTAGGAAACCTGTTCCAGTGCTTCAACATCCTTATCATAAAATAATGTCTTCCTTATGTCCTCTTTCAGTTTAAAACCATTACCCTTTGTCCTATCACAACAAAAAAATTTGACTCCATCTTTCTTATAAGGCTGCTTTAAGTACTTGAAAGGCTTCAATAAGGACTCCCTGGAGTCTTATCTTCTCCAGGCTGAACAATTCTGACTCTCTCCGCCTTTCTTCTAAACCCTTGTATTTGGTCATGGTTAACATAGGGCTTCATACATAGTATATGAGAATAGTATCTAGTTTTGCAGTTTGGGCCATAAATCTTACAATTCGTGGAGTATGCTAAACATATATAAAATCCCTGTTATTTGAAGTGGTTGACAAAAGTGTGTTTCTTTCATCAGTGGCATTTCTCTTTCCTTTTAATTTAGCTGCAATTAAAACACACATTTAGTGTCTCCTTATAAATGAACTTGAGTTGTCAAACTGCATTACCATCCTTACTCATTATTCATTTTAATGGGTTCAAACTTACACTAAAGGTGATCACTCATTTACTCATTCATGTATTCATTATTCATCTATTCCCAGATTTCAAATATGTATAATTCATTTAAATTCCTTGTATCTGAAACGGAGCCTCCTGTGAAGAAGCTTGAACTGAAGCTGAACTTTAAATTCAGTCGTGTACACACACCTGTCAAAACATTTCTGTGTAATTTTCTTTTCCATGTTTTTAGAGGTTTGTAGCAGTTCCTGTTCCTAAACCACAAAGGCAGCCTTCAGACATTACTTACTAATTTTCTGTCATATAAAAGAAATCATACCTCAAGCATATATTTTCCCCTTTTTGGAGATCTTCTAAAAGTGTGTGTATTTTGGTAGGTAGTGTCTTAGACATATCAATAAAAGCTGGAAGAAAAGAAGGACAAGCTCTTGGTGTGTGCATATATTGTCACAACTCATTCAACCTAGTAGTATTGCAATATTTCTGTTACTTAAGAGGCTGCCATAATACATCAAATAGTAAGCATCACATAGACTTTAAAGCATTAGTCTTTCTGGAAACTTCTAGTCAGGTAGGTCTCCTTGAATTCCCCCCCCGCCCCTCCCTTATCCTTGAATAGGTGCTATTGTGATAAAAATAATAATATAAATCATTTAGTCTCTTGCAACAAAAGTGTTGATTGTTCTCATCCATCTTCATTTTCCTGCTTTTAAGTCAAATCAAAACTCAACAATGCCGAAGTTTTGAAAGGTGGCTTATGGCATTAGTTGTCCAACCTGGTTCATTCCTAACATATATTGCCCCTCAAAGTGATGTCTGCTGTAGTGATGAATCTCCCTGATCATCTTACTGGACAGCAGCTGTTGTTAGCAAAGTATTGAGTGGATGGCTAAATCAGATATAAATTCCTTGCCTGCCCCTAGAAGCTGTTTCTCCTGGCACTCTCTCTTTAAGAATCACCTAGGAGTGGAACAACTTTCACTGCTGAAAAGAGGAGTGGAGGCAGGTAAATGGAAACTTCACAACTAACACCTTAAAAACCTGACAATACAGCTCTGAAACTTGACAGTTACTTTTGAGAGCAATGTGCCACAGTGATTGGTAGTGTAACAATTCAGCTTGCCTTTCAGAACAAAAACATGAGTCTTGTTTGTGCACAGGCTTTTGAAGAAAGATATTTTTTTTAACTAATTTTTGTTTTAAATATTTACCTTGTCTCTGAGGTGTGGAATAATCTTACTTCTGGGCCTTAGTCTTACATCACTGGCTTATAAGAATATGTTGAAATAACACTTTGGATTTTGAAAATCATCAAACCATAGAATGGTTCAGGTTGGAAAGGACCTTAAGATCATCTAGTTCCAACCCCTCTGCCATGGGCAGGGACATCTCGTGCTAGATTATAAACCTAAAAAACTAACAAACAAACTCCACAAAAAAAACCAGAGTTAGGGTGGGATTGTCTGTTTTGTGCAAACTAAATTGAAGTCGTGACTTGTAGTATGTTCTGCAGAAGTTTTTATCTTTGATTTCCACTCAGTGCTGCCAGAGTACAGTGTACACCTTTGAATGCCTGTCAACTACTGCACTGTAAGTTTAAATGGGAGATGCTAAAGTTACTTGCTTTTTGCTAAAAACAAGTTTGTTTTCAGGAAAACAAAAGGCCCCAAATTCTCATGAGTAGGTTTCTTGCCTTCCTGCAAAGAATGTGGAAGATATGTTTAAAAACATTATTAGCATCATCATCGTTTAATATTATTGACTTTTTTTCCTACTGAGAACTGAAACATAGAAATGAGCAATGGGTGTTTGGGTTCTTTTTGAACAACTACTGGAAAGCATCTCAGTTCTTTTCCTACGAACTCCCAATTTCGGCCATCTCTTCGACTTTTCACTGTAAATCTCTACCTAACATGTTCAAAAATAACAGCTTACTGGTCAGCATTTTGGTTACTGTATTTCCAGTATAATCTCCAGGTTGAATTCTCCTCCTAACTCAGAAATCCCATCTGTTTATTTGTAACACATAAGCTTACTTATTACTCAGTGTCACACACCTACATTATTCAAGATCAATTTGTTAGATCAGCGGTAATGTTGAATGACAATGACTACCTTTTATGATGGAGATTTGTTAAAAATATCAAGAAAATGAATCTTGCTTCCACTTTGTGTCTGTACGATGACTTCTTGCTCTTGTCTTGTAATTGGTTTAATTCACATTAGTGGGAAATATTTCCTGAAGGTTACCTTCCATCTCTTGTGTTCAAGGACATTCCAGATGATGTAATGGAGACTTTGGGGAATATTACATGGGCATGAGACTATCACACATATATTTGGTTCCAAATCAAATTTTAAATTTAGCTCTATCTGCTGGATAATAGAACTTGTACAATATCTAATTGCTTTTAGCAGATTTCTTAGCAAAATTTCCAGAGAAAATTCATGGACATCATGTTACATATTTATCATCTTAGGGGTCTAAAAAATTGGTAGAAGTATCCTTAAATGCTCCTTTAAAGCTAATCATTAATGGAGTCAATAAGGTATAATTCTAATTAGGATGAACAGAAAGCTAATAAGGTTTTAATGTCTTGAGTACATACCATCTCTATTTGTGCAAAGATACTCTGAGGGGCAAAATCAGGTCTTGTGCCAATGGGAGTCATACAGTGTCTAAAGACTCCAGTTGACCTGTTACAGTGTTGTAGTTCATGCTTGCAGGTCTTTATTACTATTATTTTATTGACTTATAAAACCATAGACAGGTTAAGACTGCATGTATAAAGGTATACCACAGGATGCCTACCATGCTAACATACTAACTATGTAGGTATCTCAATTAAATACAGATGTTCTGTATTTAAAGAACAGATCTCTGCCTGTTCTTTAAGACAGAGCCCAAACTTCATGAGATAAATACTTTTCCATAGAATTCAAATGTGAGTATTTGTGCTCAGGTGCCACAGTGACCATAAACTTGATACTTGAGCACTGCTGTTAAAATACATAGTACTGGAAACTTCTGAAAATGCTGATTTCTGAGAACTTTTTTTTTTTTTGGTATGCTGTGAAACCTATTAGATTAGATTTATCAGGACCAACAGAGAATTTAGATAGAGGTGGGGAAAAACCTGCACTCTAATACCCAGCAGTGTATAGATAGGCTGTTTCTGTGCTTAACTTTATTCTAAGTCCAGTGTGAAGGGCTGCAGTTGATACCAACACCAAATAGTGGAGTTGGAGCTCTCATAGAATCATAGAATGGTTTGGGTTGGAAGGGACCTTAAAGCTCATCTAGTTCCAACTCCCTGCCACGGGCAGGGACACCTTCCACTAGACCAGGTTGCTCAAAGCGCCCTCCAACCTGGCCTTGAACACTGCCAGGGATGGAGCAGCCACAACTTCTCTGGGCAACCTATTCCAGTGGTTGGATGTGCTTTTTCTCTCTCTGGGTCTTCTCTCTCTTATAGTCCAACTTTTGGGCCCATGTGGATAATACAGGGAGAGAGAGTAAAATGAAACTGATAATTATTTCCTGTCTTTGAGGTTTCAGCTACCTAAATATTAGATATGCAGCATAGCCATCAATGTCTAACCTAGACATCCATACCTGTATGACACTGGAAACACATTTTGTAGCATACAGAGAAGTATCTTTGCCTTTTCTGTGACTTAGAATGACAAGCTTAGATGGAAGCATGTAAAGAGGGTTGTTGCAGCTGGCTGCAGTCCCACTGTCCTGCAGAAAAGTGGTCACAGCGGCAGTATCATGGACTGTGAATGTCAGTGCTACAGCATGGAGGGCTCATCAATCACATTGCATTTGATCATGTGCTTGCATGTGCTGTATTTGCTTTTCACCCTTGGGATAGTTTCTGTGGATGTCCCATCAGATGTGTGGCAGCAACAGAGTTACTGAGTTAAATCATTTTGATTTAATCCTGTTTGATGTCCATTCAATACAGTTTTAATCTTGTTTGAAATCCATTACTTTTGATTTACAGTTTAACTTTGTTTTACATAAGAAGATTTTTGGTTATTTGTTTAAAGAATAGTTGGTTGAGTTTCATTGGTCAGTATTACCTGACACTTGCCAATCTGATAGTAATTATAGTCTTTCTATAAATTTTGTATTTTTGCTAAAAAAGGGATGTATTTTATCTTCCCATTTAACCAACCACATAGGTAAGCATAGGTTTTTTGTATTTTTAATTTTTACTTATATTAAAATTTATAGCCCCTCTATTTTAGGTTAGTATTTAATGTTAAAGTTGTGAGTACCCTAAAACAAAGCCTGATCTCTTTGAAATACCTGACCTTACTGTAATATTTTTTTGATCACTTAAACACAGTGAAAGCTTGGGATTTTAGTATCAAAAGCACTTTCAAAAACAATGTATTATATTGTAGGATAACAGAATTGATTTCTTCAGTGCTTTAATCCTGCTTGTTAATTACAGAGTAATAAAACCATGGGCATGTGTGATGAGGTTTTCATGATGTTTTCTGTTAATCTTGTTATCTTTTGTGCTTTGGTATTTTTTAGATTAAGTGCGAGGTGCTGCTTGAGAAGGACTGTCAGCTGCATGATCTGGAAAACAAACTCGGAGAGTATATTGCTTCTTTAGCCTTTCAAAAGACTGTTAAAAAATCCAAAATGATGGAGCTGTATACTGCTATCATAAGTGTGCAAGCTTTGCTCTTTGAACAACTGAGCATGTCAAAAACCCTGTCAAAATCAGAATGTATTCAGATTTTAGAAGCACACAATCCTGTAAGTAATGAAGTCATGAAAAGGAAGAATTCCTCTTAGGAGACAGCAACTATCACAGTAGCTGAGTTGAGTTTTATTTAGCTATGCTGATTTTTGCAGCTCCTGGTGGTCCAGTCTTTAATTTCTGTGATTATGTGCTTTAGTGCACTCAGTTAAAGGAATAGGAGAAGAAAAGTAGTAGAGCCAGTAAAGAGTGTGTATCATTATGATTTATTTTTATTGTAATTGCATCCAGAGATCTACAGTCAGAAAGAGCTGTATTTTGGTGCCTAATTATTATTAAAGTTTTATTGATTGCAGGGAAGATAATTGAAAAGTGATTGTGAGTCATGAGTGGGGTAGTGTGTAAATTGTCATGACTTTGTCACAAAGTTGTCCATGTCATAGTGCTATCCTTATGGTAAAATCCATAACCACATGATATGCTTCAGTCATTGAGTTTTTAAAGATTATATATACAACTTCCTAACTGTCTATATCTCCCTCCAAACACACTCACGCAGTTTAAGTAGTAGAAACTTTGGAAAGGCCTCCTCCCTTCATCGTATTTATTACATACCTGGTGTGTGCCAGTTTTCTAATCCTTTTTTAATACTTCAGTGCTCTGTATTCATAAGGATTTTATTTTTTTTTTACATCCGCTATTTGCAATCATCCAAGTGAGACTTGCAAGAGCACTGGACTAGAACCAACAAAATGGGTTTTTAAGAGCAAAACCTCTTTGCTAGAGGGCATCATTAGACAGCGATTGCTGTGAAAACTCCTGGTTAAATTTTAATGCTGTCATCTCTACAGAGTTTCTCTTTGCATGGCAGTTAGAATGCTTATATGCTTCCAGCTTTGCTTAGAATCACAGAATCATAGAATGGTTTGG